ACCCTTGACTTGAGTTGTTTACAATAAAATAATTGAAAATATTTCTGTTATGATACCAATGTCTCTGTTACTTGATTCCTTTGTCTTGGCAGAGTAGATGGAGCTTGGGAATCTACTAATTTATTTCATTTATCTCACGAACCAAACTACCGACCCGAAAGACCTAAATAAACAGAACTGGCAGGCCTACATGATTTTTGAATAACTAAACATCTCCAAAGATTTTGTATAGATTTGTACAACAAGAAGGATATCTATGAGCCAATCGTTGTTCCTTGTTTTAAATTGCTTCGAAGCGACGACCACTTTAATTCTTGTGTGCCAAATAACTTTACACAATATTTTAATATATAAGGTCGTCAATATACATTGGAACTCTGAGTTTACCGAATTCATTATAGTAATCAACAACGGTGAATGTTTCAGCTGATCAGCTTATGATCACATTCAGCATTATAGTAGTCAGAATTCATTCTAGTAATCAGCATTTGAACATGAGGGAATTGATAATATCCTGAGTGGTGAAATATATATTGTTTAATATATATTTTTGATTAAATAATTTTTACATTACTTAAAATACAATAGTACATTTTTTATATAATGTTTGGTTATAATTTTTTTTAGTGTTTCTATAATTAATTTTTAAATATTTTATGATTATTCTTAAAATTTAGATTAATATGTGTTTTATATTATGAATTTATCATAAAATAAATATTTATGATATGTATTGTCTATTTTGTTTTACCTTAAAAAAATTAACCAATTTGAATAGGAAATTGTATTCAGTTTTTTCAAATATTTAAATTTGTTTTTGTTTTCTTTTTAAATTTTTATTACCGGTAACAACTTGAGTTATTAATAGATAAATCATGCAAACATATCTGATTTTAAAATGTTTTTGATGATTTATTTTTAGATTGTATAATTATATAAGTTCTCAAATAAAACAAAAATTTAGAATTTATATATGAAATTCTCAACAAAAATAACCTCTTATATAGAGATATTTTATTTAACTTTGTAAAATGTTTTACTAAAGAATTATATACTCACTCTGTTTTATTTTAATTAATGATTAAAGATTTTTTGTCCCAGTTTATTTCATTTTCTCTTATATCTATATAAATTTTTAGTTTATTTAATCTATAATTAATTAAAAAACATGTTGACAAAGAAAATTAAAAAATATTTTAGTCAAAGACGTTTAAAAGTCTTTTACCAATGGCTAACAACTTTTAAGTCAAAAAATTAATTCTTTTCTTTACTATTATTTACTATTTGAGTTACATTCACTTTTTTGACTATTTGTCCTCTCATTTTATTCTATTTACTATTTTAATATATTTATTAAATAATATTTTTAAATATGAATTAATTTTGTTAATATTTGTACTGTTAGCTAAAACATCAACTAAAATGAGTTCAAGTATTTATACTTCTGTTTTGAAACAAAATCAATAAATAAAAATAGATCAATCTTTTAATACTAAATTTTTTTGAAATACATGAGTTTTGGATATACCAAAATCTAATTGAGATTGCATTTTATCATGTCAAGATATAGTTTAGATTAAATTTGTAGCAAAAATATATTCGTCTTAGTAAATGCTACAAAAGTGACATAAAGTTGTTCAAATCATAATTTTATATTTGTCTTTATAGTTCTTTTAATAAGAATCTGTATATGTCTAATTTTGAAAATATTTTGTCTGATCAAACACTTGTAATTTAATATAACAAAAATCCACCTAAAAGTGTAAAAATAATAATCAAATTTTATTTAGTAAACAAAATATTGACATGAAAATATACAAAAATACTTTAATTCTTCTAACAAAAAAATAACTTTTGTCAATATCTTTAGCTCCATTCTTGCTATGTATTGGTTGTTTCAAATCTTATCTGAATATTGTTGCCTTCAAATAGTTTTAATTTTTATAAGTAATAGGTATACTATGGTTTTTTTAACAATCAATCTTTGTAATAACTTATAACAAACAATGGTGATAAAATTATTATATTATAATAAATAAAATATTCTTTAAACATGAGTTAATTTATATTATATGTAAAAAACTATTTTATTATTAATTTTAAATGATTTTATATAATTGATAGTGTTATTTTTAATTAATAGATTTTTTAATATTTTAAGTTCATTTTTATATTCTATATGATTTGCTTACCTTTATATATTTTATTAGTTAGCATAATATAATATTAGAATTTAGTAATTTTCTTAATATGTCAAAAAGAGCATAATTAACTTAAAATTATAATTAATTACCGAAAATGATGTGGACCAATGAAATAATTATTTTATAATTTATATGATTTAATAATCTAATAATATGTTAATTTTCTTTTTATTGTTAATAGGAAAATAAGATCTAATTTCTATACATTTTAAACTCGTTTTTATTAATAATTATCTAAAAATTAGAAAATTTAATAACAACAACAAAAATAAAAATAATTAAATTTTAGAAACTTTACTAATAATAATAAAAACGAAATTAATTAATTTTAATATATATAATTAACTATAGATGATGATGTGTACCAATAGAATTGAATATTTTAAATCCTATGTAGACATCCTTAGAGGTCTATAATATTAACTTTTATTAGTAATAGACTGAGTTTATAACTCGTGCTACGCGTAAATTTGTATTAATAATTCAGTTTAATATTTTTTTTAATTTACTATCTTTTAAATTATTAAAACTATAATAGATTTATAGAAAATTTCTTTTATATAAGAGAATTTAAAATAATGTGTAGTTTTCTCCTATTGTTATTTATAAAATTTTAAATCTTATTAAGTAAAATAATATTAATGACACTTATCGAATTATCCAACTTTGACATACACATACATTTGATTTAGAGAGGGATTGTTTTGCTAAGATCTTGGTATTATGTTTTGTTTTCCATATAATTTCTACAGTTCTTTTTCTTTAATATTTATGTGTTCAAATATTTAGTTTTTTTTTATTGGATGTCTTATTGGTGTTGTGCATCTATGCATATATAATTCATGATTCATGTTGATTCACATTTAGTTTTGTTAGAAAGCTGCAATGATCATGCAAAGCCGTTTCTTCCTTCTCCACCAGGTGTTCCACGAGTTTTAGCTTATATCTTTATTCAGTTTTCATTGAGATCTATTTTTTTATAGTCTAATATTTAACAGTTTTAGTTTTTAAACTTGTAGGATCACTGATGTGGAATCTTCGCATTATTTTTTATTGTTTTTATCTTTTGTGTGCAATTTACATGTTTTGATTTAAATATTATATATATATATATATCAATTTGAGTTTCATTCATAATTGTGTCATACTTTATTATTTAAATATAATTTTAGAATGTGTTACTCATGTGTTATTAATGTTGGTTCAGATTTAAGTAGTGGCTATGTATAGAAATCGGATTTTACTATTTGTTTAATTTCAGGTGTAAAATTATTTATGTAGTGTTTTTAAATCAGAAGCACTCTGTCTATTAATCATTGTATATTTTAAAATTTGTTTGATTTAGAAACTCATGTAAACCTATTGCAACTTTAGATAGTTTTTAATTGTTGTTACCAATACGTTAGAAATCATGAATTTTTTTCTATTTATTTGAAATTAATTTTGTTTTAATTTTTTTATATACTTTAAATCTTTTGATAGTAATTTTATAGTTTATTTTGATTTCTACAAATTGTTTTTGTACGTTTGATATACTTAGGACTTGTATTTTTTTTATTAAGCTTTTTTATTGTTGATTTTCAAAATAGGTAGCATCATCAAGTTAATTTATTTTATACGAAACTTTTTCTTTGTTAATTTTTTTATATAAATTTTTATTATAGTTATAATGCTGATTCGACATGCTCTAACTGTTCAATTTAAATCTTATATGGATTTTTTCTTAAAAGTTTATAGCATTATTTTTTTTTAAGTTGAGTTTTTTTTCATGTTGATTTTCAAAAATGTTAGCCCAAATATTAGGTTAGTTATTTTATGTGAATTTTATCTTTTGTTACTTTACTTCTTTTGATAATAATTCCTATTTTATTTTTAAACATAAATGTATCACATGTTGAAAGCTAAAAAAAACTTTTTATAAAAACATGTTTAATTTTTCATCATATCATGTTTTGGAAATTAAAGTATTGTGAGGTATATGCATGTAAGGTCTCATATAAGTTGTTTAAATTTAAAAAAGCTATTTATAGTGGATAGCAATGATTTATAAGTTAGATTTTTTTCTAATATATACTATAAGTTTTAGCTTTTACAATATTTTGTTTGTTAGCTTAACTCTCTTGAATTTAAATTTCCATTTAATTTCGAGGAATAATATATTTTGGTTCTTCTAACATAATTTTCTTTTCTATTTGTTACGTAAACGTTTTTTTATTTTTATTTTTCCATCTGTAAAATAAAATTAATATTTTATATTTTTTGTCAATTAATTTAGAAGTTAGAAAATTTCCAGTTTATACTATAAATTGTAACTTTTACGATATTGATTTTTTTGTTAGTTTAACTCTTTTGACATTATAATTCCATTTAATTTTAAAGAATACTATATTATAGTTTTTTTAACATAATTTTTTCTCCATCTGTTATTTAATTTTTTTTGTTTCTATTTTTCTATCTATAAAAGGAAATTAATATTTACAATATTAGAAATTAATATTTAATAAGTTACACTTAATATTTTTTTGATTTAATAAATATGCTGATGTGGACGTCCTCAATGTACATTAATTTTTATATAGTTTAGATTACAAAATTATGTAATGATTACCAAATTTTCATCAAAGAAGTATGTGATGATTACCAAATTATCATAGATATTAGATGCACATATATACAAACACAAGAACATGATTCAAACAAAAGTAAACTACATAAGTGGTTAGAGAAGAAATGGCCAAAATGCTTCCAAATGGCTCACCCCCTTAAGTTTAGAAAGAAAATGGGTTTACGTTGACACAAATATAATAAATGGGGACTTTACAAAACATTTACTAACACAAAGGATTTGCTTTTGTAAATTCTGTATACTTGTCTGCACTCTTTCGTTTCTGCAGATTCCAGGATTTGGGCGTGAAATGCTCCGATGCTTCTTTAGCAGCTTGTTTTCTTATCAGAGACTTGAGGAAGGGTTTATTCTTCGCCGTTTATGTTTGCAGTGAATCCACTGATCCGAAAAGAACGGTTATGTGCGAGCTTCGGAGAATCTCTTGTGGGATCGAACCGTCGGCTAGAGATCTTGAAACAGATCACTGACGCGAAATCAATTGCGTTCTAATGGAACCTCACACTATTGCAGAATCTGCTGCGAGCTCTGATGCAACTGCGTCTCATTCGGTACGCATTTCGATTTTCTACAGCTTTTCTCGGACGTTCCTGGTTCTTAAGTGTTGTGATTACTTGAGAATAGGACGACAAATGTGGGGTTAGTTCAAAAATCCAATATTGTTCATTTTGCTTGCTTCTCATTGGTTTCTGTGACCATTGTTGCATGCTTTAATGCCCCCTGCTACTGAGAAATTCATTAGGCTACTCGTAAAAGAGAATTTTAATGCTTGAGAAGTTGTGTCTACGATATGATTCAGAAACTGATTGTTTCTTTGTGTTTGTAATGTTAGTTGAGGGCTTTCATGAACTAGTTTGTTCTGTGTGATTGCAGCCGAGTGTATCTGTTCTTTTAGATGCTCTTGAGCAGTCTGCATCTACACCCAGGATCGCAAATGGCCTTTCACAGCGACTGTTACGCTTGCTACAGCTTTCACATGAGAATATAATTTCTTTTAAGGCATTGAATGGAGCTTGTCGTGTGCTCAGATTGGCTTGCACACAAGCCAGGGAAAGTAGAAAGTCTGTGTGTGTTGCGCCTTTAGTAGAAAGTACTGACAGTGGAGTTATAGTGGATTCACCTCATAAGAAGTCTGATTCAAATACTACAGAGGATTGTTGTTTTGAATGCGTGGAAACATGCATTGGGGTTTTCACAGAGTTTTTCTCATCAACGGATGATGCAAAAGTATATGTTTTACGAAGCTCCGTTTGTGTTGATTGTCTTTTTGAGCTATTTTGGGAAAAAGCCGTAAGGAACAATGTGATGAAACACATAATTGATCTGATGAAGGTATTTCTTACAAATTCGCATTCAAAAGTCTTTTCTATGCTTCTGTCGATCTTTTAGTTTGTTAAGGAGCATGAAAAGGATTTTATTTTTTTTAAATCCAAAATTTTCAGATCAGGCCTCTGTGTGAGGAAGACAAAAGTGCAAAATTACAAGTGTGTTCCAAATACCTAGAAACTTTCACTCAAGTGAAGGAAAGAGAAAATGACTTTGTTGACTTATCTGTTGATCTATTGGCGGGTATGAGGGATTTGATCAAGACTGACTCAAGGGTATGGCTCTTAGTTTGTTACCGAGTTCGTGTACCTTCTACTTCTTCTGTAGCTCCTTATCTTTATTTGTTGCTTCCTCTAATTTTTCTCTTCTATTGTTTCGTCCCTTCAGTACTACCAAGCCCTATTCCGTGACGGGGAGTGTTTCTTACACATTGTCTCTCTCTTAAATGGTAATCTCGATGAAGCAAATGGAGAGAAGTTGGTTTTAAATGTCCTCCAAACTCTAACTTCACTGCTTGCAAATAATGATGCCTCAAAGGTGATTCTTATTTTATTTTGCTTTTCACTACAGTACGGGTCACTTAAAAATGGCTTGTTCACTTATTACCTTGGGATGAGACAAAAAACATGGGGTAGATGGACGTGTTATATTTTTTCTAACATATTTAGCGACATAAAAAATTTAAGGTTCCTCCGTACCATGCTAGCAAAATACAAACATCGCACCTCTTCTCACTATCCATGTAGATAAGGCTTCTCTGGATGACGTGTGAACATACTTGCCTTGATTTGGGAGTGACGCAATAGTGAAAAAATTCGGGAATTGAACTTTGATCTCAAATAGTCACATAGAAGAACAAAAGACATGTTTTTATTCTATCGTTTAGGAAGACTTTCTGAGTTAAGTTGGACATAAAGGTCTCTTGCACTAGTGTAATCTGTTTTTGCCACTGCTTCCTTTTGTGCCCTTCAGTTTGCCTTTAAAGCCCTTGCTGGCAAGGGTTACCAGACACTGCAAAGCTTATTGTTGGATTTCTTCCAATGGCAACCTACCCAAAGGCTCCTAGACGCACTACTTGATATGCTTGTTGATGGAAAATTTGATGATAAAGGCAGTGCTCTTATAAAGGTACTGTGATTTTCATAATTTATCAGCTAATGATCTCTTTTTTATTTTTATTTTATTTTATACCTAGTTACTGGTGGCTAATTCTATTGTCCTGTTTCCATGTTGAATTTGTTTTGCCTACTCAGAATGAAGATGTTATCATACTTTACTTAAATGTACTTCAGAAGGTTGGTGCAGTTCTTGCTACTTGGATTTGCCTTTTCCCATATTTTGGTTTTGAAATATGTCCTTACCGTGGATTTATATGATTTGGCAGAGCAGCGAGTCTTTGCAGTGTTATGGGCTAAATTTGTTTCAGCAACTACTTAGGGATTCCATATCAAATCGTGCTTCATGTGTTCGGGCAGGAATGCTTAACCTTCTTCTCGATTGGTTTTCTCTGGAAGATGCTGAGAGTGTTATCGTGAAAATAACACAGCTAACTCGGACAATTGGTGGCCACAGTATATCTGGGAAGGATATGCGGAAGATCTTTGCCCTTCTTCGGAGTGAAAGAGTGGGTAATCATCAGAGATACCGCTCACTGTTATTGGCTTCTTTGTTGTCAATGCTGAATGAGAAAGGACCAACAGGCTTTTTTGACATGAACGGAGTTGATTCTGTAAGTCTTTGTCCCACTTGGGAAAGTTTCCTTGCATTAAATCTGTGAGTTATCGTACTGCTACAACCTGTTAAAACTAAAGTTTCGAGTTCATCATTTGTTGAAAGCATCTTTTGGATGAATTAGTATTTAAACATGCCGCAAATTTAATTGGTAAAAAAAGTGTAGACATCTTGGGGGCTTTGTTGAGGTGGAAAGCTTTTGAATTTATGCAAGAAAGTGTGATATTCAATCAGAGATATTCATGCTAAAGTCTTACACTTTTCTTGGTGAAAAGACAAACTCTGACTATTACTTGATTCCTACTTATTACCATTTTTTTTGTTAATTATTTTCATCCGCAGGGCATTGTTATCAGAACACCTGCTCAGTGGCCTGTGAATAAGGGCTTTTCCTTTTGCTGTTGGCTTAGAGTGGAGAGCTTTCGCGGAGATGGGAAAATGGGTATCTTCAGTTTTATGTCAAAAAATGGGAAGGGCTGCTTTGCTGCTATTGGGAACGATGGATTGTCTTATGTTGTAAGACAAATGACATGACTTTTCTGTTTTTTTCTTTAATTATCTCATATTTCTCATGCCTTCCCCTAATACGATTTTCTTCCTTTTCAGTCACTGAATCTGAAACGGCAATGTGTAAATGTGCACGCCAATTTGGTCAGTAAGAAGTGGCATTTTATATGTGTTTCCCATAGTATTGGAAGGGCGTTCTGGGGTGGTAGCCTCTTGAGGTGTTATGTTGATGGGGAGCTTGTGTCATCTGAAAGATGCAGGTGATTCCAGATGAATTGTTATGTACTAATTTGATTAATGGCTTGTTTTTATATCCTTACAATTATCGACTCGTCACATTGAGTAATGTTTGGGTGCTTTATTTCTTTATTAATTGGCACAGTTATTGATTTCGTTATCTTTGTTTCAGCTATCCGAAAGTTACTGATGTACTTACCAGTTGCTTCATTGGTACAAGTATTACGTTGCCACATATCCAAGATAACGAAGGCCTGGAGTCCATCCGAGATGTGTTCCCATTTTTTGGCCAGATCGGTCCCATTTACTTGTTTAATGATGCTTTGTCTCCCGAGCAAGTTCAGGCCATTTATTCGCTAGGACCAAGCTATATGTATGCATTCTTGGAGAATGAGATGACTGGTCCCTTTTCTGATAATCCATTTCCTAGTGGTATTCTTGATGGAAAAGATGGGCTTGCATCCAAGGTTTCCTTTGGACTTAATGCACAGGTCATACATCTTTTAAAGCAATTCTTTACTACTTATTTATATCATCTTTAATAAGAACTTTCTATTTACACTTCAACAAAAAATGATTTCTTATTCTTTTTTAGGCAAGCGATGGTAGGAGATTGTTTAATGTGTCTCGGGTATCAGATCATTTACAAGATAGGCTCACTTTTGAGGCTGATATCATGGTTGGTACTCAGCTATGCTCGCGACGCTTGCTCCAGCAGATAATTTACTGTGTCGGAGGAATATCGGTTTTCTTTCCTTTGATTACACAATCTGATAGTTGTGAATGTGAAGCACTTCAAGAAAAAACTTCAGCTATGTCTGCGTCAAAAGAGCGTATGACAGCAGAAGTTATTGAACTTATTGCTTCTGTCTTGGATGAAAATCCAGGAAATCAGCAACAGATGCATCTTCTCTCTGGATTCCCCATACTAGGATTTTTGTTACAGTCTATTCAACCGAAGCAACTCAATCTAGAGACACTTTCATCCTTGAAACACCTATTCAATGTTATTTCAAGCTCTGGTACGTGTTGTTAATGCCTCATTTTGATTTTCTGGAGCTTGTTTGCATCACTTCTGGTACCATATAATGCGGTTGTTTTTACATGAAGGAAGCAAATTTGTAATTGTGGTTTTTCTTGGATATTTTTGTTAATAAAAATTTCAAATGGAAATTCTTAATATACTATTTTCCGCCTCTAATACATTTAGTCGGATTCTTGCCTTTTTCGTTTGCTAGTTCAGTATTAAAGTTGTTCATGGATAAGGTGCTGGTTTACTTTAAACTTCTTTAATTTTTTTTTTTTCTCTATCCAGGGTTTGCTGAGCAGCTTGTGGAGGATGCTATATCTAGCATTTTCCTTAATCCTCACATTTGGCTCCATGCGGCTTATAATGTGCAGCGTGAACTTTACATGTTTCTCATCCAACAGCTAGATAATGATCCACGACTTTTGGGAAGCCTTTGTCGGCTCCCAAGAGTTATTGACATAGTATGGAACTTTTATTGGGAATCTGAAAGATACCGTTCTGCTAAAGGAAGCAAGCCTCTTATGGATCCAGCAAGAACTGTTGCAGAACGACCAAGCAGAGATGAAATCCATAAAATTCGTCTCCTTTTGCTGAGCCTAGGTGAAATGAGTCTGAGGCATGTCATCCACTGTAAATTATACTTTTTCAAGCCTCTATATTTTTATACCATTTTTTATGTAGCTTAAAATATATGATGGGATAATTTTGTTTGAAACTTGTACTCAAGTCCTTGTTCTCAGTTTTATTCAAAAATTCCCTCCGTCTTTTCAGGCAGAATATCACAACAGGGGACGTAAAAGCTTTGATAGCATTTTTTGAGACATGCCAGGATGTAGCATGTATTGAAGATGTTCTGCATATGGTTATCCGTGCCATTTCTCAAACATCAGTCCTTGCCTCTTTTCTTGAACAAGTCAATCTTATCGGTGGATGTCACATTTTTGTCAATCTTCTTCAGAGGTAAATTTTTGTTATTGTACCAGCTTTCACATGTACATATCTTTATTTCAAGTGTACATGAATTTTGCAAATCCGGGTGACTCTGCTACTTTCTGCAAAGCGATAGTTGTTTTCGTGTTACCAAAATTCGAGAAAGAGGTTTGTTGTATATCAATGGACTGATCTAGTTGAAATATATAGTTTATCTGCAGGAATAGATGCTCCTCTGTTATGTATGTAGATGAAATTGTAAACCTGAGAAGAACCTGACTTATTTGATAGAGCAAAGGCTCAAACATCCTTTGTTTTTGTTGAAATATATGTACTTGCTAACTGTCAAACTATTGTTGAAAATATGGTGGCTGCTGATTTAAAGTGAGGACTAGTCGCCCTAATCCCTGAAGCTCTGTTCATAACAAAAATCCTCCTTGCTTTTTTCTCCTTTGGTAATCATATTGAGGTGTTGTGTTCCTGCTGGAATCCTGGATAAAGATAAAGTTTCTTTCTGTGTGTATTTTATTGCATATGTCTTTCATTGCTAAAGCAATGTCTATGGTAAAATTTTTTTTATAGTTTCGGGCATCAGACTAGATCTGCGAGAACTTTTTCCTGTATTTTATGAGGCCTATACAATCTCAGTCACATATATATTTGGGGTTTGGCAGGGATTACGAGCCTATAAGGTTACTCAGCTTGCAGTTCCTTGGAAGGCTTCTTTATGATGTACCTTCAGAGAAAAAAGGACCTAGGTTTTTCAATCTTGCTGTTGGAAGAGCCAAATTTCTGTCACCAGGGCATAAGAAAATTGGTGGTAGAACGCACCCAATTTTTTCCGCTATGTCTGATAGATTGTTCCAATATCCTCAGACATATAGCTTGCGTGCAACCTTGTTCGATGTTCTTCTTGGTGGTGCCAGCCCCAAACAGGTATCAGCTCAAGATTGCTAAACTTTATCAATCATTTGTTTTCTACTTCTGAACTTGCCAAAAATATTGTTTGAAGATCATTTGGAGTTTCTTTTCCTTGTAGGTTTTGCAGAAATACAACCAGGTTGATAAGCAGAGAAACAAAACAAGCAACTCTCAATTCTTTCTTCCACAAATATTTGTTTTTATTTTCAAATTCTTGTCTGGCTGCGGGGATGGATTAGCACGAATGAAAATAATTAGTGACATACTGGATCTTCTTGATTCAAATTCTATGAATGTTGAAGCTTTGATGGTAAGACACCTATGACAGAAAATTTTAGATATGAAAGTGTTAAAATGGCAATTGAAATACCAAAACGTTATGTGTAGGAATTTGGATGGGGTGCATGGCTATCAGCGTCAGTGAATCTTGATGTGATAAAGGACTACAGATCCGAGTTGCTTATTCATGATGACCTGGCATTAAATGAACAACATTTTGTCAGGGGCCTCTTCTGTGTTGTTCTCTGCCACTATATCGTATCTGTGAAGGGGGGTTGGCAGCAGCTGGAGGAAACTGTAAATTTCATACTCTTGCAGAGTGAGCACGTAAGTTAATCGAAACTAATATGCTTCCTTCACCTTATAACAAATTTTGTTGTTGTTCTGTGCTTATTCTATTTCATCACAGAATGATGCCCCATACCGGTCTTTTCTCCGTGATCTCTATGAGGACTTGATTCAGCGTTTGGTGGAACTCTCATCTGAAGAGAATATCTTCCTTGCACACCCATGTCGCGACAATGTGCTGTATCTCTTGCGGCTCGTCGATGAGATGCTTGTCCGTGAATTTGGCAGTAGGCTCCTGGTATGACCTACCTACTTTTGGTTTTTCGTTCTTATCATGCAGTTGATTGTTGAACTAAATTGTACTAAATCCATATTGAGACGCTGTAAATCTTGTGAGACTCCCTTCTCATCCTGCCTGTTGTTTGCGATTTTGGAGTTTTGGTTGCGGTTTTATGGGTTGGTGTTTTCCATGTTTTACAGGATTGTTAAACCAGGTTGATGTTTACGATCTTTTAATGCATATTAAATTATCTAGAGTAAATTCTCTTTCCATTCATTTATTACCTGTACTCTATGAATAATCAGTCAGGGTTCAGTCAAACATCTTGGATTAATTGAAGCTCACTTGGCTCTCTTTAAACTCAAATAACTCATTGTATTTAAGGTCAAATCAAGCTACCAAGTTGTTTGAACCAGTTTCCTGTTGTTAATAGAAGTGTATCTGTGCTTTACTTTCTATATAGGAACTTTAATGTCAAATGTATTACTTGCAGTTTCCGGCAAATAGTACTGATTTTTCAGAGGATTTATCACAACTTGAAAACCGGGAGGACCACAATTTGGGTTTAGATGAGAGTTTCCAACGATTGTTGACAGAAGAAACCTCTAGGTATGTTCTTTCTGGATTTCATTTTATTGGCATTAGCTTGGTGCCATTTAGTTTTGCTGAAAGAAATATATGGAGTTGATAAACTGTATAAAATTGTAACAAGATATGCAATCATCTCCTATGTGGATAACTTTATACCCATTGAAACCAATTATAAGATGCATGTAAGGGTAGCATAGTTTAGAGCCATAACTGGACTTCCAATCAAAACAACCACGTGTGAGTTTGGGTTAATCAGGATAATGTTTTCCTATGTAAAAGAAAGCCTACTACTTACTTGGTTGCTCTTTTCACTGCTTTTTGTATTTTCTCACTTATTTAATATATTTTCATCTTATGTGAAGCTGCTTTAACAAATAGTACAAGATTCTAGTATATTGTTTGAAAAAGAGAACTTTTCAGTGACTGATCCATGATATTTGCTTCTTGATTTTCTTGCTTGTTAGTTTTGCTGATGATGTTATTTTCATCTTTCATAATTCAGAAATACAGAAAGTCAGCACTCTTGCACCACAATAACTGAACTTATGACGAATGAAAGATGGTGGAATTTGTATGACAATTTGTGGAGAATAATATGTGATATTAATGGAAGGGGCCCGGTGAAGATGTCTCCCAAATCTTCAGCGACTGGTCCTTCTATCGGCCAGAGAGCAAGAGGATTAGTAGAATCATTGAATGTTCCAGCTGCTGAAATGGCCGCAGTTGTTGTTTCAGGAGGTATAGGCAGTGCATTGAGTGGAAAAATTAACAAAAACGTTGATAAAGCTATGCTCCTAAGATGGGAGAAATGTCCGCGAATCGTGTTTAGGCTTGTCACCCTGTATCTGTGCATGTCTTCGCTGGAAAAAGCCACTAGATGTGTGCAGCAGGTGACCTCACTCTTGCCTTCCTTTTTAGCTGCTGAGGATGAACAAAGCAAGAGCAGGTTGCATCTCTTTATTGGGTGTTTGCTTTATGTAAGATCCCAGTACGGAAAGTTAGATGACGGTGCTCGTTTTCATGTCATATCGCACCTGATACGTGAAACTGTAATTTGCGGAAAGTCCATCCTGGCTACCAGTGGTATGAGTAAGGATGACAGCTCTGATTCTGGTGGAATCTTCAAAGAAATGGGCTCTATCCAGAATCTTATCCACAAAGACCGTGTGCTTGCTGCGGTCACTGATGAAACGACGTACATGAAAACACTGATATCCGATCGTACTCGTCAAGTGCAAGCCCTTGGTGAAAGGAATAATGAAATATTGTCTTTAGAATGCAACAGCAAGAAAGCTTTTGATGACGAGCTCCAAAGCGTTTTAAAAACTGTTCTTACATGGGATGAAAATAGACGAGTTGCAGCGCAATTAAGCCATGAAGAGCAACAGCAAAATGTTACTGAGAGATGGATTCACATGCTACGATCTTTGATGGATGAAAGAGGTCCTTGGTCTGCAACTCCTTTTCCTAATAACATTTTAAACCACTGGAAACTCGACAGGACAGAAGATTCTTGGAGGCGTAGACCAAAGTTGAGACGGAATTATCATTTTGACGAAAGGCTGTGTCATTCACCTTCTACTTCCACTGCCACTGAAAATGAGTCTCCAAACGTCATCAATGAAAGCAAGTCCGGTGTGATACATTTACCTGAACAGATGAAGAGGTTTTTACTAAAAGGCATTCGCAGGATAACTGATGAGGGTGGCTCAGAATCCTGTGAGAATGACAGTAGTCAAAGTGAGCAAAGTTTATTGGATACTGCTGCAGATATCCAGTTTTCTGAGCTTGTAAGAAGCAGCGGTGATCTCAAGGATGTTGTACAAGATAAAGTAGATGCCTCTTCTTTAGAAGTTGATAACAGCGAGGTACATATTTCACCGACTTTGAAGGAGTAGACAATAGAGTGCCTACATATAACATGCGTTTCGTTTTATTTTTCTCAGGTTTTGACATCTGTTCCTTGTGTTCTTATAACTCCGAAGAGGAAACTGGCTGGTTGGTTGGCAGTTATGAAAAATGTTTTGCATTTCTCTGGGGAATTTTTGGTGGAAGGAACTGGTGGATCATCTGTATTCAAGAATTTTAGCACTTTAAAGGGTAGTGATGTAACAAAGTCTGACAATAAACAGAACCTCGTTAAATTGTCTTCACCTTATGAGAGTGAGACATTAGATTTGGAGTCAGAAAAAAATAATCAGAAACCGTTAAAGAAGGTTAAGCGTCACAGAAGATGGAAAATAGGAAAGGTAATAAACAGTAAATTAATTTTGTATATCGTGCATCAATGTCAGCATATTTAATAATGCTTCAATGGATGTGCTGTTGATAGGTGAAAAGTGTTCATTGGACGCGGTATTTGCTTCAATACACAGCTCTGGAGATTTTCTTCCAGGAATCTGTGCCACCAGTCTTTCTAAATTTTGCATCATTAAAGAATGCGAAGGAGGTCGGGATGTTAGTAGTTTCTACCAGGAATGAATTCCTGTTTCCGAAGAATGTTGCTAGGGACAGGGCAGCAATGATTTCGTTTGTTGACAGACGTGTAGCTATTGAGATGGCAGAAACAGCCAGAGACAGATGGAGAAGGAGAGAGATTACAAACTTTGAATACTTAATGATTCTCAACACCCTTGCAGGCAGATCTTATAATGATTTGACTCAGTATCCTGTTTTCCCTTGGGTGGTGGCTGATTACTCATCCGAGACTCTTGATTTTAGCAAAGCATCTACCTTTCGCGATCTTTCTAAACCGGTTGGAGCTTTAGATTCAAGAAGATTTGAGGTTAGTGTAAAGCAATGGCGTGTATTTAGGTTCTGAGATTAGTGGCATGGATATAATACAATATGGTTTATTTTTGTGACAGATTTTTGAGGACAGATACCACAGCTTCTCGGATCCTGATATACCTAGGTTCGTTGCAGGCATATTTTCTGTACTAAAGAGATACTTTTTCTCTTGTACCTTAGTAATTTCAGTTTATGAACTTAATGCAGTTTCTATTACGGGTCCCATTATTCAAGTATGGGAAGTGTTTTGTATTACCTTTTGAGGTTAGAGCCGTTTACATCTCTTCATCGTAGTCTGCAGGTACTTGCTTCCAACTTTAACCAATAACAGATTTATGGAATATATAATGAAAAAATGGTGAATACAGACATCTCACTTACTGGTTTCGTCTGTGGCCAGGGTGGTAAATTTGATCACGCAGATCGTCTTTTTCAAAGTATTGAGGGGACATATCGGAATTGTCTGTCCAATACAAGCGATGTGAAAGAATTGATCCCTGAGTTCTTTTACATGCCTGAATTTCTGGTGAATTCGAACTCTTACCATCTTGGAGTGAAACAAGACGGTGAACCTCTTGGAGATATTTGTCTACCTCCATGGGCTAAGGTATACTTCTCAGACATATGATTTATTGGGTAATTTCTAGTTGTGCGCTGAATTAGGTTTTGGAGTTTGATGGGACAACTGGATATGTTACTTACTGCGTATGTGGTTCCTAAGAGTACTCTTGTGATATGGAAAACATGTTCATTAGGTGTGTTTGGTCCTTTATGAAGGAGATCACCTATAGGATCTATAAATAATGGAGATTAGCGAGGTGCAGTCACAAGTTAAAATTTTATTTTGGTGGTAACTTGAGCTCTAAGGAATTGTAGTGGCGGGTTTGATTTCCAGACATCGTGAATGTACATCCATTCTTACATTCTTCCGTTGTTTAATGTCCATGAGAACGTAGTTATGAATTGTATACGCAGGGTTCTCCAGAGATGTTCATCGCTCGTAACAGAGAAGCCCTAGAGAGCGAGTACGTTAGCTCACATCTCCATGATTGGATTGATTTGATATTTGGACACAAACAGCGTGGCAAACCAGCTGTGGAGGTAGTTCATCTTTTATAAGCTTGTTTCTCTTTTTATTTACATGGTATAGAAGCCTCCGACTTGTTTCTTATTGGAAAAAATTAAACTTGAACTGCAGGCAGCAAATATCTTTTATTATCTTACATATGAAGGTGCTGTTGACGTAGAAAATATGGAAGACGAACTGCAAATATCAGCAATTGAAGATCAGATTGCTAATTTTGGTCAAACTCCGATCCAAATCTTCCGGAAGAAACATCCGAGAAGAGGACCACCTATTCCAATTGCACATCCCTTGTCCTTTGCGCCTGCTTCCATTAATTTGACTTCTATACTTCCCGCTACAACTAATCCCCCATCAGCAGTTCTATACGTTGGTGTAGTAGATTCAAATATAGTTCTCGTTAACCAAGGTCTCACTTTGTCAGTCAAAATTTGGCTGACAACTCAACTACATTCTGGTGGAAATTTTACCTTTTCAAGCTCTCAGGTAGGTTCTGTTTCATCTTTTTGGATTCTATCAATTCGACATTTTATCATCCTACTTCAGCTGAGGCCTCTGTCACTGCAGGATCCATTCTTTGGAGTTGGTTCTGATGTTCTCTCTCCCCGTAACATTGGAAGTCCCCTAGCAGACAATGTTGAACTTGGCTCACAGTGCTTTGTCGCAATGCAAACACCTCTGGAGAACTTTCTGGTTTCATGCGGGAACTGGGAGAACAGTTTTCACGTCATATCCTTGACTGATGGACGGGTAGTCCAGAGCATCCGACATCATAAAGACGTCGTAAGCTGTGTTGCAGGTATGCTCTTTTTCTTCTGCTTCCTTTGCTTGCTTAAAGATGTGGTTGCTTTCCTAAAGATGATAATGTAGAAGAGCTTCTATTGTATGATGCAGTAACTGCTGATTCGAGTATCCTTGCAACTGGCAGCTACGATACGACCGTGATGGTATGGGACATTCTCCGCATGAGAACACCTGAAAAGAGGGTTAGAAACGTGCACGCAGAAGCACTGCGGAGAGATATCGTCATCGCGGATGCTCCTTCTCATATTCTTTGTGGTCATGACGATATAATAACCTGCTTATATGTCAGCACTGATCTTGATATAGTCATCAGTGGGTCAAAAGATGGAACATGTGTGTTCCACACATTACGGGAAGGAAGATACATAAGATCCTTAAAACACCCTTCAGGCAGTGCAGTCTCCAAGCTCGCTGCATCGCACCATGGACGGATTGTTCTGTACGGTGATGATGATCTTAGTCTTCACCTCTACTCCATTAACGGAAAACATCTGGCGAGCTCCGAGTCAAACGGACGCATCAACTGTCTTGAACTTAGTAAGTGCGGAGAGTTCTTGGTTAGTGCAGGTGACCAAGGACAAATAGTTGTGCGGTCTATGAACACACTTGAAGTAGTAAGAAGGTATAACGGAGCAGGGAAAGTAATCACATCTCTGACTGTAACTCAGGAAGAGTGTTTCTTAGCAGGGACAAAAGATGGAGCACTTCTTGTTTACTCGATCGAGAATACTCAACATCGGAAACGGATTTGATTGGCACTTGGAAGCTATGTTCTGTTATGTAAATTTGTGTCCCATTGTTCCATTGGTTTAAGCGATGATGGTTCTAGAGTTGTGGCTAATCTTGTGTTCTGCAGAGGGGACTTTACACACTTTTTCACTGCCTTTGTAAATGTGCAATATATCTCATCTTAACAGCTCAAGATGCATAGACAATGTAAGAGGTGTTAATTGATTGTAACAGTACCATAGATATATATGCCTTGGATGCGTTTAAAGAGGTTATACGATTTGTATACATCATTACTCGGAGATCAAAGTGAGAATACTATTACCTCTTTCGCTATGCACTTCATGACGTAGGATAAGATTTTTAGTGCACTCTGATCAAACACCAAAAATACGAAATACTGGGCTACTAACGTAAATCGACCATCTTTTACATCAAAACTAGGTTTGCCCGCTTCCTCTTCTGAACTCTGGACTGCGGAGTCCCGAAAGGCCTTGATTCTGGTCTTTGAGGGCGGATCCAGCATATTAGTGGGAGAGGCACTTGCCCCCTATGAAAATTTTAAAACTAGTTAAATTTTCTAATGATTTTTAGATATGCCCCTTTTGTTAAATTATTTTATGCCCCCCATCTTCTTTATTTCATCATACAAGCTTGTTGGATTTTTTCTGCCCCTGATAAAAATAAATTCTAGATCAACTATATATCCCAAAAAGCCTTGATTATGGTCTTTGAGGAACGAAGTTCTGCAGAAGAACCGGTGGATGTGGATGATCCGAACGGATATGATTCAGACCTCCTCTAGGGACTGGTGGCTATGGCAACCCCAGTTGACCATTGTCCCAGCTGTAGTTGTTGTCGTATTCTCTATTTAAGTCCCATAGGCATTAACAAAGAAATGATTAAGTTTACCCCGATCGAGGTAAATGGTTTTCAGCATGGATCAGGAGACTGTAAGTGTAGCATTACATTTACATCTCAAATCCTATTAAAAATACTTTTTGATATAATTACAGTTAGTATCCAATATCAAAATTAATAATTTTAAGAACTTTTAATCTACTCTTAATTTACTATGAAATCTCTAAAATTAGTTGTACTAATTTATATCTAAAATTCTTACTTTGTGATGAACTCTCACATTTTTTCCCAAAGATGCAAAAATTGCCATAATATTATTTTTTTTTAATTTTTACGTCTCAAAATATATTTTTTTCTAACTCTAAAGACTCCATACTTAAAAAATTTTGAGCTTCGTTCTCCAGTTGGCAAAACTAACCATTTTTCTAAATATAAGGAGACATATTTTTTTTTTGAATTAATTCTAATCAAACTAATATTACCTTTTCTCGTTTAATCTTTCACATATCTTCAAATATCTCTTTTCCTTGTGTTTTATCTCCAAATAAAGCATCCAACTTGTGGTCAATAATATTTCCAAAAATATTTACACCTTACACACAATCGCTGCCTTCTGATGTCACTCACGTCTAATATGGCATCTGATGCACCTTCTGATGCACTTTCTGATCATCTATCTGATGGCTCACAGAATCTGCATCTTCAATCTCTCCCTTCTTAACTTAGTTCCTCAAGCACCAAATTCTTTAATCATCTGCAAACCCTCGTAGAGAGACACACACGAAACGGCATCCAATAGAAACTCCCCCATGAATTGAGCTTCATCTTCACCAACACGCTTACCAGGATCAGCATCAGCTATGTAAACACCAATATCCACCTCATCCCCCTTGCTTGAGTGCATAACTGAGTTAAAAACCTTATAAATGATGATCTCACCAAAGTGCATCATCAGTCACTCTATATCACAATTGTTGTATACTCTATTACATGCCCTGTTACAACCTCTTGAACCGGACATCTGTCGGTCGTCAACACAGCCAAGTTTTCTTCTTCTTCTTCTTTTCTATATTTAATTAACTTACTTGCCTTGTGGACGACTCAGCTAGCTCAACATCTTCTTATCCAACGATTCCTCCACCTACTTGAATCATACCATTTCACATTCATATCTCTTTTAAGGTTCTTCTATTGATACACTCCTTGATTACTTTTCACAGGCACTGAGCAGCCACCATAACAGCTTAATACACCTCTTGAACTGTTGATTGAAGGAGTACTTGCAGCATATTTAGACTTCTTCATCCACCTCTTTTTGGATCTCTCAAAGTTTGGAACATATCGATTTCTCCTCCATATTTGATATGCATGTTGTAGAAACTTGTATTTCTATATACCAAAGTCACCTTTTCCATCAAACTTGTCCATTTTAAACCTTCCATGAGTAGGCTCCATGCTATCTGAAATAACCTGACTGTTTTTTGCAGATCGTAGATGTGTAGAACGTGAGGCTCAAACAAACCAGCAAACACAGAGACCAGCCTGATACTGAACACTGAACCAATGAAGACCAAAGAACTACAGCCCATAGAGAACGCAGACTACAAAAAATTGCAAGAATCACAACGACGGTAGATCCCACTACCTTCCGTAACACAAAACCATGTGTGATTCTTTACCCTTTCAATTTTAGATTGTCCAGATCTGAGAGTTTAACATCTAACCTGATGCTCTGATACCAATTGTTGATGTTTAATCCAAAATTCTCTCTGAACTGTAGAATTAAAGTACGAAAACTCAAGAAAAGAATAACGCAATCAACACCGCGATTTGATCACCTAGAGTTCACCGCAAGGTTACGTCTCTAGGGAGGGATCTTCCTCCCTCAACTGCATCCACTATCACACACGATTACAGAATAAGCAAATAAAAGATAAAGGAAACAAGAAGGAGCTTGCCGGATCCGATGAACGCTTATGGAAGATCAAACGATGTCTCCTTGATGCTCCGGTAAGCTTTCTGTGTATTCGCTCTCTTTCTCTCTCTGATTTTCTCTCTATAACAAACTTTCTCCTATCAACGTTCTAATCAAATGTAGATGACAGACACTTTATTTAAATAGGTCCTGACTTCTGGGCTTCGGAGAAAAAACAACTTGGCCCAATGGAAACTGAAAAAGGGCCTGAAGCCCAAACGAGTGTTTGGCGAAACCTTTATTCACACTAACGATAATTTAGCATTGGTTCAGTATTTGCAGTGTTTGATTCCGTGGTTTTGTGATTAACTACTAACCATGCTTTTCTAATTAACCACTAACCATGCTTGTGCATCACTACAGAGTTTGTGTACTAGTACCATTGTTGCCTACTTTTTTTCTTCATACAAAATAGTGTTCCTATTCTTCCAAATGTTCTACAAAACCCATGGGATTGTTTTATTACGAGGCTCCATCTAAGGGTTGAACTCTATTACTTCCAAATGTTCCACAAAACCCACAAGATTGTTTCATTATGAGGCTCCATCTAAGGGTTGAGCTTCATTGATGCTAGCATGGAGGCTTGGTTTTCTTTTAAGACGTTAGAAAAACCACTAATTGGGGTTTGGATTCCTGTTACTGCAATCATGTTTTGAGCAATGGTACACTGTAATAGAACATGGTTGATGGTTTCTGTATCCTGTCTGCATAGTTTACAGCTTGTATCCACATTTAAGCCTTGGCTCTGGAATCTATCCGCTACTGCTAAAGCACCCGAAATCACTGTCCACAGGAAGAATAGTTTTAGACTAACTCTGTCTTCTTGTGGAGCAGTTGGAAGGATGTCCGGAATCATAGGATGGTTTGAAAGTATCCAAGAACCACTTTTAACTGAATATCCACCATTCAGAATATATACCCATACATATTTTCTGTTGTATTTCCAAGGGGTATCTGTAAGATTCGCTCAATATCTATCTGGGGAAATAGCTCCATGTTACATTCGGTAGGATTCTAAGGTGATCATCCATTATCCATTTTTCCAGCCACACATTTGTTGTATTACCATTTCCAATGACTTTGATAAGCCCTCTAGATAGTAAATCTCTACCATGAAGTATGCTTCTCCATCCATATGAAGACCGGTATCCTTTGCCACACTCTAAAAAACGTTTTGAGCCAAAGTAACATCCTTTGTACAATCTGGCTAATAATGATTGGGGCTCATTCACTATCTTTCAAGCTTGTTTTGCAAGCAATGCTTAAATGAAATCACTAAGCTCCCTGAAACTCAATCCTTCTTTTTCGCTTTTGACTTCACATCTCTTTCCATGAAACCCAGTGAATTTTCTTCTTCTTTTCACATGCATTCCACCAGAAGCTTGTCATCACACTTGCGATATTTTGACATTGGTGCTTAATCAGTTTGAAGCAAGGATTGCATAAAATGGCAAAGCAATTGCAATTAATTTTAGAAAGACTTTTTTTCCCCCAAGGGAGAGTGTTTTGGTATACTATTTGTGCAATCTCTTATCCAACTTTTAACAAGTAAAAACAAGCAGCTCCTTTTTAGACCCACTTAAACTTTTAGGGAGTCCCAAATATTTCTCATCACCACCATCTTTAGTGATTTTCAATAGTCCAGCCAATAACGTTTTCATGATAGGGCCAATTGCTGCATCAAACGTGATGGCCAATTTTTGAAAGTTGATTTCCTGACCTGAGGCGTCTCCATATAACTTTAGGCAGTTGAGAAACTCTGTGTATTATTTGAGGGTGGCTCTGTATAAGAATAGATTTTCGTTTGCAAACAAAAAGTGTTCGATCGAGGGGCAATATTTCGACAATTTCATACATGTTAATCTTTGTTCCTCCTCAGCTTTGTTCATTAGATGTACTAAAGCTTCTTCACAAAGGATGAAGAAAAAAGGTGATAAAGGGTCAACTTGACGGATTCCTCTCTGGAATGATGTGGCTATGCGCCTGTCCATTCAGCAAACCAATATACGTGACCAACCAAATACATTACATGATCCAAGCATTCCACTTCCTATCAAAACCCATTTTATCAAACACATATTCTAAGAAATTCCATTCAACTCTGTCATACGCCTTGGACATATTGGTTTTGTTTGCAATGTAGCTGCTTTGATATTAAGGGTTTGTACGGACACCATGTATCATTTCATGGGCACTCAGAAGATTATCTGAGAAAGACGTCCTGCTACAAAATCCCCAAGTGTTTGGGATACAAGTCTAGCAAAAATCGTTTCAGTCCTGTGCAAAATATTTTGGATGCTATCTTGTATGTTACAGAACACAAACTGATTGGTCTTAGATCCTTCATATCTATCAAGATTGAGATCTTAGGGATAAGACAGAGCTGTGTGAAGTTCCAGTCCCTTGGTAAGCTACCAGATTCGAAGAAATTCTTGACCTCATATATAATTTGTGGACCAGTGATGCCCCAATATTTTTGAAAGAATACTCATGTCAT